GCGATCTGCGGCGGCGCGGGCGACAAGTGCCCGAAGAAGGGCGATGTGGCCGTTGCCGACTGCATCAAGACGCTGAAGAGCTACGCGGACGGTGCTAAGTGCGTGGCGCCGGTGGACGCCACTTGCCAGACGATCAAGACGGGCGCGAAGGGCTGCGTCTTTGGCTCGTCGGAGCCGGCTGGCCCCACGCAGGCTCCGGCGGGTCCTACCCAGGCTCCGGCTGGCCCCACCCAGGCACCCGCTGGTCCCACGCAGGCGCCCACGAGCGGCCAGTGCGCTGAGAACCACAGCCAGTGCAACGGCCAGAACTGGCCGTTCGGCGTGTGCTGCAAGGACCCGAACTTTGAGTGCAACAAGAAGAACGACTACCTCTCGCTCTGCGAGCCCAAGAAGAAGGCCATGGACGCCGAAGCCAGCCCCGTGGCTGTCTGGCAGAAGTGCGGTGGCAACGGCCACAACGGTGAAACCACGTGCACGGCGGGCAACAGCTGCGTGAAGATCAACGACTGGTACTCGCAGTGCCAGCCCAACGCGACGCCGGCCAACAAGCTCAACACGTGGTCGCAGTGCGCTGGCTCGGCCAACAACTTCCAGGCCGGCGGCAAGTCGTGCCGTGACGAAGATGCCTGCGTCAAGTACTCGGATGCGTACTCGCAGTGCGTCCCCAAGACGCAGCAGAAGGATGCCGCCGCCGAGATGGCCTGCACCAACGTGAGTGTCGAGGGCGATGCCACGTACTGCGTTGAAGGCGCCGTCTGCGGCGGTGCGGGCGACAAGTGCCCCAAGAAGGGCGACGTGGCCGTCGCCGACTGCATCAAGACGCTCACGAGCTACGTCGATGGTGCCAAGTGCGTCGCGCCCTCGGATGCCACGTGCCAGACGATCAAGACGGGTGCCAAGGGCTGTGTCTTTGGCACGTCGGCGCCGGCTGGCCCCACGCAGGCTCCGGCCACGCAGGCCCCGGCCGGCCCCACCCAGGCGCCCGCTGGCCCCACGCAGGCACCCACGAGCGGCCAGTGCGCTGAGAACCACAGCCAGTGCAACGGCCAGAACTGGCCGTTCGGCGTGTGCTGCAAGGACCCGAACTTTGTCTGCAACAAGAAGAACGACTACCTCTCGCTCTGCGAACCCAAGGCCAAGGCCATGGACGCCGAGGTCGG